ATAGAATGCTACAATGCCGTGGGTGACTGCAACAACACATGCAGAATTAGTGGAGCAATGCATGCACAAGCAGAATGCCTGCTGAAATCCGTGGCCTGAACTTTGCACGCTCACTGAGAAGCTTTCTTCAGCAGTTCCAGACCAGCAACAAGCAGACATCCTCACTGAGGCACCATCTCAGAAGAATGAAAGTGGCCTTTTAAGTGATGGTGGGGAATGGCTCAAGAGCAAAAGTGTGCTGGCCTGGGATTTGGACTCGGATGCTGAACCTGAGGGATCCCAGCCTGCACAGGATTCCCCGCCTCCAGAACCAGCTGAGCCGGGGCTGGGGCATGAGCCTGAAGGGTCCTCACCTGTGCGGGATCCTCAGGTGCAGGCACCAGCTGAGTCTGCTTTGGCTCCTGAGGTGATGGAGGACCCATTGCCTGCAGGTGCTCCACTCTCAGCCCCGTCAGAGGAAGCTGAGGTTGCCTCTGGGTCCCGTAACCCTCCAGCCTCTCCTGAGCTGCAGAGGCTCAGGGCAGAGAGGCGGAGGGAATTAAGTTCCATCAGGAGGAGTGCTTGCCTCCAGGCCAGGAGAGGCGAGTCACCAGAGGATCGGGGCCGCCCTATGCCTCGGGGCAGATAAAAGCTGGCCAGCCCCAAGCCCAAGTTGCGGGAGCAACATTGTTGGTTGCTAGTTCCTACCTGAACCCTGTCCTGCTTTCCTGCTTGAGCTCCTGACCTGCCCTGGCTCCCTGCTTGCATGCATGTTCCTGACTTCACCTGACTCCCTGCCCTGCACCCAGCTTCAGCTACTATGGACTGCCTCCTCGTTGCACCTTTGACCATGGACCGAACTTGGACCTCGCCTCTCGGGTAACCCACTGGATCAGCACAAAAAGCTTGGGTGGCTGCCACAAGTTCCTCCTAGTATCTGCCACCTGAGGCATCTGCCTCATTATACCTAATAGTAGGGCTGGCCTTGCAACTCAACTGCACATAATTCGCAGCCCAGAATACGGTTTCATCTCTTGCTCGGTTGAAAGAAAAGCATTGCAAAGACCATGGAAACAGCAGACCACACCTTCTCCTGATCCCAGACCCAGAAGCATCTCAGGAGACAAGGGACCCCTTTTGTTCTCCTCCAGAGTCTGAACCACAGACTTGAGGAGCGGGATCAGTTTCCGATTGATGACTTCCCAACTTCCATGGGCAGTGCCGGCCGCGCTGTAGAATTTTGCGCCCGGGTAGTTCAGAAAGCACTGGGATGAACCGGAGAGAAGGTCCTGAGACAGAGAAGGAGATTAACTCTCAGCAAACATTTGCCACTTGAATTTTTCACAGGCTTAAACCCAGCTATAGGAACCAGTAAAGAAGCAACTCTTTGAGTGGTGAATACTATGAATAAGCCCAATCCAGGGAAAACCTTTATTTTTGCAGCATGTGATCATCCTTGGGTTAAGCTTTTAGGAAGCTTCCAGATGACTGAGCATTCATCCTAATTTGTTTGCAGGAAGATCAGACAATATTAGCTGTTTAATGAGCATTCATTTTGATTTGTTTGCAAGGAGGCTAAGAACATATGAAGAAAGGTGCTGGCAGGGTCATCAGAACATCTAATCTAGCATCCTGTTCTTACTGCAGCCATCCAGATGCCTGTGAGAAACCCACAAGCCAGACCCAAATGCAGCAACTGGTATTCGGACACATATTGCCTCCAACAGTGGAAGTAGAAAATAGCCACCAGGGCTAGTGGCTACTGAGAACCTTTGGCTCCATAATTTCACCTAATCCTCTTTTAAAGCCATCAAAGTTGGTGGCCATCACTTCCTCCTATGGGAGCAGATTCCATCATTATCTACAGTATGCACTGTGTAAAGAAGTAATTCCTTTTCTCTGTACTGAATCTTCCAGCATTCAACTTCATCCACACCAAGCATAACTGCAGATTCTTCAAGTGTCCCTATTTTCCAGGGACAGTCCTGGATTTACATAAACTGTCCCGGTTTCTGATTTGATCCTGGAATGTCCCACTTTTCCTTAGGATGTCCCTATTTTCATCAGAGAAATTTTGGAGAGTATGGAGTTATGCGACACCCAAGCCATCTGAAGGCAGCCCTGTATAGGGAAGTTTTTTAATGTTTAATGTTTTATGATATTTCTCTGAACTAAAAAGGCCCCAGTGCTGTAATCTTTCCTGATACGGGAGTTGTTCCATCCCTTGATCTTCTTGGTTGCCCCTCCCTGAAGCTTTTTTTTAAAAAATAGCTTTACAGTATCCTTTTTTCAGGGTGAGGCAATCTGAACTTTGTGCAGTATTCAGGTGTGGTTGCACCACAGATTAGAAGACGCTTCATCAAGCAAAGTTTATCCCACACTTTCCAGTTTATTTCCCCATCACTTTTCTTATTGCAAAAAGTTTGATCTTTCGGGGAAGCAGGTTTGTTGCACAAGAACTCCTGATGCACTATGTTGTTGTTGTTTTTGTTGTTGTTACTACTACTACTACTAATATATATATATATGTATATATATATATGGACAAAACTCAATGCAGCTTACAAATAAAAATAAGTACTGCTTAAAACATAGAAAATCAACCATTAAAAATCAATTAAACATTGATAGAATTACTTACACACACAGACACACACACACACACACACACACACACACACAACCTATTAAAACCATACCAATAATTACAATAAAAACAGCATGGCACCAGCCCTTTCATTAAAAGCAATCAGTTCCCAAAAGCCTACCAGAACAAAAAAGTCTTCACCTGCCAGTGGAACGACAACAAGGAGGGAGCCAGTCTAGCTTCTATAGGGAGGGATTCCAAAGTCAGAGCAGCCACTGAGAAGGCCCAAGTGTGCCTGTGAGGGAGTCAGGACCAAGAGAAGGGCTTCCCCTGAAGATCTCATAACCCGGGCAGGTGCTTATGAGGGAATAAGTCTTTCAGAAAGCTTGGACCTAATCTGTGCAACCTATGATTGAATCCCACCCCAAAATGGTGATAGTCCAGAAGAGCCCATAGACACACCTGGTAGTAAGTTGGTTTTCAATTTGCTACCTATGTTCACAAGAACGGCATACCTTTGTCTGCAGGGCCAGCGTATCTGATAATATTCGGAAATATTCCAGCCTGCAGTGGGCACTCTCCATGCTGGTCTGCTGCTTTGCAATGTGTTCCTGGAATCCAGCCACAAGATGCAGTGTGATCTGGAAGAAGGCGGAGAAGTGGGGATGATCTCAACCCCTTCTTCCCATTCCCACCATCTCGCTTAAGAGCAGCATTAAGCATCAAGAAATGTGACTGCCAAGATTTTTGTGTTGCAAAATGTTAACATGAAGCATGTGGCAAAATGTTCCCAGAAAATTTGGGACCCATCTTTTGGTGGCCACAGATATGATGAACAACCATTTGTTTTTGTTTTATTGTTTTTGAGCTTGAACATGGCTAACTCCAGTCCATTGCTTTTGCCGTGTCTGCTCTGAGTAGAACTTAGTTGGAGACAATTCCATGCTTGGTTGTTCATTACCTGCTTTCCTATCATGTGCTACTTTAGACATTATTATGTGCCACCCCCAATCTCTGCTGAGTGTTAGCAAGATTCCAGGAGGTTCCAGGCACTTACCCAGAATTGTGTTTCCTTCTTGAAAATTAGGCACAGTGGCAACTGCAGTGTCTTTGAGATATATGGTTTTATTTACACGTATAGACACTGATGGAGGGAGTGCAGAATATCACACCTCAAGAGTGCCTCCTGTTTCTTCTCCATAACTTCATCAAGCTTGGGTCCTGAGCAGAGGACAGCCATGCTCCCTGGTCTCTGGGTACAACCCTGTTCTGCCCTACTTCCTGCTGCTTTCTCCCCCCCAAAAAAACCTTGCCAAAATGCAACTTCCCCTTCTGTCTCCATTATCTCCCACTGTAACCCTGGCAACCTCCTTCTCTGTGCCCAGCAGAGTCTTCTGTTTTATCAATGACTTGCATTGATGGGGTAATGACTGGTCAATCCAGCCTTTGTTTCGTAATGGCTTATCCCTAGTGGGCACCCTGGTGCTAGAGGAGAGTCTTGAGAGTCCCATGGACTGCAAGATGATCAAACCTATCCATTCTGAAGGAAATCAGCCCTGAGTGCTCACTGGAAGGACAGGTCCTGAAGCTGAGGCTCCAATACTTTGGCCACCTCATGAGAAGAGAAGACTCCCTGGAAAAGACCCTGATGTTGGGAAAGATGGAGGGCACAAGGAGAAGGGGACAACAGAGGACGAGATGGTTGGATAGTGTTCTCGAAGTTACCAGCATGAGTTTGACCAAGCTGCGGGAGGCAGTGGAAGACAGGAGTGCCTGGGGTGCTCTGGTCCATGGGGTCATGAAGAGTCGGACATGACTAAATGACTAAACAACAACAAAAGCTAGCACCCACACACTCTGGGATGCAAAACCTATAACACTATTATGATAATTCAGAGTTTCAAAACAGAAATGCAAAAGACAGGCAAAAAAGTGTTACCTATATATGTCATACATTTAAAGCACATTCAAATACATTGCTTCCCCAAAGAATTCTGGGAATTGGAGTTTACTCACTACAGACCGGATGTCAGGGAACTGCCATCAACTCAGAGGAAGGGCAGTTGGTTATAGGCAGCCTCCGAAAATCTTGCGAAGCACTTCCTCCTCTGGCGAGGAGGAAAGCCCCACCTCCAGTGGAGAAGAGGCGCAGGGACCAGGGGATGCTAGGGAGAGCCTCAACACCAAGCCTGAGCAAACCGGAGAGGCAGGAAGTATGCCGCTGCCAGCGCTCATTCTGCGCAGTAGGCTTCGGTGCAGGGAGGGAAGGAAAAGGCTGGGGGTGACGCGACTTTTATGCTGGGGGAGGTACAAAGACCGACCACTCCCAGATTCTGCTAGCGATTGAGCCAGACATGAACTTACGATGCTCTTCACTGTAAATAGTTTGCACCAAGAATAAAGCCTGGAAAAGTCAGGTCAGAGTCTTGCCTGTTTACTCTCGAGCAACCACACCACCATCTGACACCTGCAATTCCAGCACCCTTAGCCAACCATAATTCCCAGAAATCTTTGAGGGAGTGTGAAGAAGGGACCCCATCAAAGAAAAGGAAAGAGGTACCCAGCCTCTGCTTGATGATTTGCTTCATTTTCTGACTTGCCTTATGCTAATCTCTCATCACCACAAGCCAACTTGAAAGCCACATTATCTCCTCACTCACTTGCTAGAGCAAGAAGGCTCTTTAAATTGCTCTGGCACTCCAACAGATGCTGTGACCACCTCTTCTCTAAGAAAAGTACTGGAGTTGCACCTCCCCTGCATTCCTTCCCGCACTATACCACCGAAGACAGATAAATCAGGGTTTTTAATGTACAGTACATCAAAGCCAGATCATGGCAGATCATGTTGGGGAACAGGTGGTGACCTCACCTTTCTGGATTTCTCTCTAATGGCCTCTTCCATGTGCAAGCCTCTGCTCCACTGCCGTTCTGCTTCCTTCAACTGCATCTGGATCCGTCCTTCTTCTAGCTGCATCCTTCGGACAAACTGGACCAGTTTCTCCAGCATCTTCCTGAGCAAAAGCCGAACTCTGGCTTCCTGGTCTCTCTCGTCCTTGTCAACTGGAGACACCAAAACACAATCGTCTCAATGAGTAACACTGTTAGAAGCTCAGCAAGAACATTTTACAGAAGAGCTTGATGCAACAGCGCTGTTCTAGGGCACAGCTGGGGAAATTGAGGCCCAGGGGATTGTGAGGTGGGGGGTTGAGTGGGGTGGGAGGGGGCCCACTGCAACCAACCAACCAACCAACAACGAACAGTGGAGAAAATTCTGCAAATGTGTCTTTTTCTAAGGGGGCGAGGAAAGGAAACATCTCAGATATTTTCAAGGGAACTGCCTTGTGAGAAACTTCAGCTCAGCTGTAGTTCAAGACAGCCACACAAACGCAGCAGCCAGAAGCTGTGCCTCCATACCTCTCATCCTCAGAGACTGTTCTGTGTCCCACAGCATGTTCTGATCTCTGCTAGCTCTCCTTTGAGTTTCCTGGGCAGAGGATTCTTCCAGTAGGTGATAGATCTCGTCAGCAGGTCTTAATTTGACCCTATACCTTAACTGCAAGGGGGAGGGGAGATAAAGAGAATTAAGCTAAAATATGCTTTGCATGCAGAAAGTCATCCCAACTCATCTCCAGGTAGGGCTGGGAAAGACTGCCTCCTCCAGAGCCACTGCCAGTCAGTGCAGGAAATACTGGACTGGATGTAACCGTTATTGGACTCAGTATAAGGTGGTTTCCTATATTCGTGTTTCATTCAGCCCTTTATGCAGAATCTTAAGGCCTGGGATCTTTAGTTGAAGAGGTCCTCTTGGTTGCTCTATCACCCACAAAAGCCTAAGTTCCCTCATGTCCAGGGTTTTCCCCAAGCAATCGGAGACTGTGACTGTGAGTCACTAATCTCTCCTTTGCGCTTTTCATGCCTCTTCTAGTTCTGGAAGACAAGGGTGGGGGGAGCTTGTCGCAGCAGGAGAGGGAGATATCTGTGACTCTTCCCCAGCCTTACTCATCTCTGCCCCTTGGCCTCTCTACTCTCCTGCTTCAGCTTCTTCCTCTGATTCTGAACTTCGCTCTATCACAGACTCTCCCTGCTCACTAAACCCTGTTACCCCTTTAGTTTCCGATACTTGCTCTTCCCAGTCTTCTCCCTCCGACCACTCATTGTTGTCCCACCGCTACTCCCCGGGCCCTGAGTCTTCCTCCCTTGGGGATTTCCCAGCTCGTTCCCTCCTACATTCCTCTGTGTCCAACTAGTCCATGACAATAATGCTGAGCTTGATGGATTAGTGGCCTGAGTTGCTCTAAGGCAGCTTCCTATCTATAGGTGGGGAGAATCTGTCTTTAACAAGGACATGGCGGTCTGTTGAAGTACTGCTACCCCAGCCCAGGGGAATAAGCCCAGCATGCATAAAGGGCAGAGTGCCAGGGAACTCTTCTAATTTCACAGCAGGTGTTGCAGGTAAAGCCAACGTGCACCTTTTTCATTTTCCCCTCCTTGGCTGCATCCAAGACATCCAGACATATAAAATCCAGCTCTTTAAAGAGCTCCTCTTCTTTTGCCCGCTGGCAGTGCCAGTATGCTTGCTTGGCATTTATTTCCTTCTCCAAAGCAGCCAGCTGTAAAAACAAAGACTTCCCATAACAGGCTGCAAGAATCAGAAAGGAGTTTGACAAATAACAAACCCCCTTCCCCCTCCTCTTAAAAAATAATAATAACTTGGAATGGGAGTTACCAGTTCCGGGTCTGGATTTCCTCTTGGTAAGTTTCCCAAGGACTGGACCACAGGAATGACAGCATTTGTCCAAGGGTTAATTTGAGCCCCAATGACTGGACCAGTCTCGCCTGTTATGGGATCCACAGTTCTGAAGCCAACAGTGAGTGGAACAAGACCTGCAAGGAGTCAGAGCCAAACCACCAAGCCTAAGTGGGTATTAACGTGAGTTTTTATGAGCATGAAGTCAGAAAGCTCTGAAGCATGATTAAACTCATACCATTGTGAGAAGCATATTTTTTGTGTTGTTGCTTTTTGCAGCGGGCTGCTACATCCTTAATGTTTCTGGATTCTATCCCATTCATTCTAGACTGTGATTTGAACCACAAAGGGCTTCACTATAGGACCACAGTCTCCATTCATTCCACCTTCCCCACTCGACAACTGCATATATATTTCCTACTTAACAGAAGAATGTAAGAGTCCTGCTTCATCAGGCCAAAGACCCACCTCAACCCAACATCCTATCCTTCCTGGAAGCTTCTGGAAAGCCTGCAAATAGGACCCAAATTCAACAGCAGTGTCCAAACTTGGGATTCCCAGCATTCTGCCTCAAACAGTGGAGGCTGAACATAGCCATTGGGGCTAGTAGCCACTGACCCCCATATCTGCCATGCATTTGTCAAATCCTCTTTTAAAGCCTTCTACTTTGGTGGCCATGGGTACATCTTGTGGGATTCCATAGTCTACCTCTACATTGCATGAAAAAAAGCATTTCCTTTTCTCTGTCCCGAATCTCCCCATATTCACCTTCATTGAATGGCCCTGAGTTCTAGTATTATGAGAGAGGAAGAGGCCCAAAGTGTAGATGTCGCCACACTAAAAGATTGATTTCTTGCAAGAGTGGAACAAATTTTATGCGGCACCTGTAATAGTGGCAGTTCCACAGAATGAAGTGGGGTAAGGAAATCCCTTAAGTAAACTGGTCCCAATCTGTTAAATGGCTTTGTATGCTAACAGTAAGGGATGCGGGTGGCGCTGTGGGTTAAACCACAGAGCCTAGGACTTGCCGATCAGAAGATTGGTGGTTTGAATCCCCGCGACAGGGTGAGCTCCCATTGCTCAGTCCCTGCTCCTGCCAACCTAGCAGTTTGAAAGCACGTCCAAGTGCAAGTAGATAAATAGGTACCGCTCCGGTGGGAAGGTAAATGGCGTTTCCATGCGCTGCTCTGGTTTGCCAGAAGCGGCTTAGTCATGCTGGCCACATGACCCGGAAGCTGTACGCCGTCTCCCTCGGCCAATAAAGCGAGATGAGCGCTGCAACCCCAGAGTTGGTTATGACTAGACCTAATGCTCAGGGGTCCCTTTACCTATGCTAACAGTAGCACCATGGCACCCATCCTCTGAAAAATCAAGCACTGCCCCAACTTGCAGCCATCCAAGAACACAATAAAATAATACAGCATTTGGAGCAACATATCAGAGATCGTCTTCTTGTACTGCTGCTAAGCATGACACCACCGCCCTGTAGCTGACTGTGCGTCACCTGCTCACTTTCCTTCCTGCTGCGGGGAGCTTCCAGTCCAAAGTGTTAGCCCTCACCTTTCCCATCTGCATCTTCCATGGTCCCAGCTAACGGCATTGGCTGCCCTGTCTTCCAGTCACATTCAACTCCAAGGATGGGCACCATCAAATCAGAACCTCCTGGATCCGGGATTTTCATCCCAAAGACGGCAGGGATCCAGAGTTCTGTGCTGGGATATTTGATCATCCCTAATTTGGTTGAGACAGCGAAAGGATAACCAAGTCAGTATGAATACTGTACTAGCAAATGCCCATCATCATGACAACAGGTGAATTTGGGTGTATGTATATGAAAAGAAGGATAACTTGTATGTTGCTTATTTCTCTGTTACCCGTTTATTTTACAACTCCTTAAAGGGGCAGTGTGCATGTTTCTTTTCTTCCTCCTCATCCTTTTAGAAGAGAAGAGTTTCGATTTGATATCCCGCTTTATCACTACCCGAAGGAGTCTCAAAGCGGCTAACATTCTCCTTTCCCTTCCTCCCCCACAACAAACACTCTGTGAGGTGAGTGAGGCTGAGAGACTTCAGAGAAGTGTGACTAGCCCAAGGTCACCCAGCAGCTGCATGTGGAGGAGCGGGGAATCGAACCTGGTTCACCAGATTACGACTCCACCGCTCTTAACCACTACACCACACTGGCTCTCATATGAGGTTGGCAAGGCTCAGAGAGAGTTATTAGTACATGGTCATCCAGTGAGGTTCTCAACTGAGCAGGGATTTGAGCCTGAGGAGTGAAATTTCTTTCGGTACATATTTTCTTGCAAACTTACCTAATCTACCCTTCCCAAAACAATGTGCAAATTGAAACTTTTCTTCCAAATTTGCCCACCTCCACATTTTGCAATACAGCTCCCTGACCCAAGAATGTATTATTGTACTGTGTATATTCAGGGAAAGAGCATACAAAAATGCATCTTCTTATGGAAAATTGCTTGCAAAGATACGTATGTTAGGGGACACGCACCCTAAAAATTCTGATGAATTTTAATGAAATTGTTTAGAGAGAGAAAAACACAAATTGATGCTGATGTCTGGAAAACTGACTCTAAAATTAAGAAACCCAAATGGACAGATTTTTCCATCCTTAACCCAATACTCTAATCACTGCACCATGTTGCATTTTATTGGGTTCCATACATAGACACAGGATTGTACTTGCAGTAAACCCAGTGGAAGTTAGCTATGTCTGCTAATTTCAGTGGGCCAACTATTAGCATGTTGTGCAGTGTGTAGATACAACTCACATTGCACCACATCCCCCACAGCAGAGGTTTTCAAACTTTTGGGGTCCACGGCTCCCTTGACCAACTACATTCTTTCTGCGGCACCCCTGTGGGGCTCAGGAGCCCAGTTGTGTTACCTGTGTTGCCTGCAGAGCTGGCAGCCTCTCACCCTTTTTCGAACACCCTCCCTTGTGGAGAGTTCCTTCAGCATCCTCTCTTCTCCCCTCTCCTTGGGAGTCCTCCGGGCAGCCACTGCTACTGTCCCGTTATCTGAGCTGCCCCCCACCCCACCCCAAAGAGAGGTGCCTCCCAGTGGCACCATCCATCTGGGGAGTTTGTAGCCAGGACTGCTGCAACAAACAACTGTGCAAGCTTTTGGGGAGCCAGAGACAAGAAAGGGCATCAAACAAGGGAGGGGAAGAAAGAAGTACAGAAGCCAGAGTTGCCCGCAGCATCCCGACCATCATTCAAGGCTCCCCAGGGTTGAAACCCACTGCTCCACAGGATTGCTTTGAGCAAAGGCTGCACCTGTTGTTATGTACTGAAGTTCTCACCCTGGGCCAGCAGGGGATACTGTAGATAGTTATGCAAATGAAGGATCGAAAGTGACATTCAGTGATTGGATAGTTTTAGAAAGTTGCTACAGTAACGTTGTACTGGAGCTCTATATAAGCAGGCTGACTGAGCACTTCAGCTCAGTTCTGTTCTGGCCTCTGAATAAACAAGAGCTGTTTGAAGAATCGCTGTGTCGTCTGATATGTTCACCCACAACTTAACACCTGTGGAACTTCAAGTACAGACTGATTTGTACGGAACAGTAACTGGCAAGGATTCATTTCTACAGAAGGATGTAGAACAACACGGTTGTAATTCAGAGCACCTACCCAGCTTGCCGCCGGTGCTCTTGAGAACTGACGCATGGCCCCGCTGCTTCTCTAGGGTTCTTAGCTGGTACAACAAATAATCCAGCACCTCAAACAGTACTCTTTTCATGTCCTCTTCTGCGGCTTTGAGGGCTTTCTGCCTGTCTCCAGCAGAGCACAGATCCTCACAAATGGCGTCCTTATACTCTCTTAGTGATTGAGCCACGTGGATCTGAGCTACAAGGAGGTTGGCGTCTAATACCGCCTGATAGCCCCCTGCGTGAGCGGCCATCTTGTCTTGCTGAAGGCAAATGCCTTGGACACGGGCAACCTTCCCGCTCAGTGGCTCCTTAAAGGAATCCCCTATAAGGAGGAGGCTCTCTGAGGGCCCATGGAGGCCTCCCACTGGAATGAGGTCTCCTGCATTTAAGAGATGAGCAAAGAAAGAAAAAAGAGTTAATCTGGATATTCACCTTCCCACATAAGATTTAGGTTTATGCTCCATTTCAATGCTTTATTTGAATAGGGCCTTTCACTCAAAGGCCTGATATTTACCGCACAACTAGTTTTCAATTCAACTCCCTTACACAGTAAACAATAAGATTTGTCACAGGAAATACAGTTTTTATTTTTATTGGGTTTTATAAACAAGAATAATGTTATACAAACAAGTATACCAAGTTTTCTCATGTCATTTGTATATCACAAAAATAACATAGTAACATAAAGAAAGAAAGAAAAAAGAAAGAAAGAAAGAAAGAAAGAAAGAAAGAAAGAAAGAAAGAAAGGGAACAGGAAGTTACAATTAAATGTGTTGTGGAAGTTCAACATTTCCACATCAATTTGTGATTTTTTTCTTTCCAGAAAATTCCTCATGAAAGTTGCTCTGCCTTACAATCTTGATTCTAATATACACATTTTTGCAAAGCCATTTCCCCTAACCTTATGCATTTTTGTATACTAGTATATGCGTTTTTGTACAAATTACTTGGCTGAAGAACTGCAATGCCAAATTATGAGAAGTGGGTATTTCAAAGGATGGCTGTGTTTTGAATGACATATTGTTTGAGAAAATACAGATTAGGCAGGTTCAGGTTCGTGAGGCTTCCCCTCAGTCACAGAAAAGAATATTTGGATGCCCATGGAGCAGAACTGAGACAAATCAGGAAATGGGTAGGCCTTGGAGTGATGCTTCGCTCTTGTTTCTGAGCCAACCACAAAACTGAGTTATTATCTTCTGCACTCGATATCCCATTTGCTTTGTATGCGGTTTGTATATTTATAGTGCCCCAAGGAAGGATTTGTTTCAAACATGTCAGGCCTGGAATAAATCTCATTTCTAGCACCCACAGTTTCTTTCTCCTTTTTTTGTCTGAACCAGAAAAAGTTACCCAAAGTTGAGGGAATGAAGAATCATGACCTAATTTTAACACTCCACATCGGTTGGTCAAAGAGAAAGACCAGCTATATTTACCAACACAAGCGGGAGACACAAAGTGGATCATATACTAACCGGGAAGAAAAAACTCTTTGAGCTTGGAGCCTAGTTTAGACAAAGAAGTTAGGATAAACTGAGTTGGAGCTGAAGCTTAGGAGGTCCTCAGTCTGCCCTCTCCCCAATTTTTGGGTGTCTTCATCCTGTCATTACCATGGAGTTGACAGAGACTGGAGGAAAATGAGGAATCTGTTCATCTCATTTTCTAACATCACTGATACAAAACTGAACAGAGTGAAAAATGCTTACTAAGCTGGGCTGGAAGACTCTAACAGACCTATTTTAATGCGCTGTTTATTACATTAATCGATCAACTGAACTACTTCCAAGAAAGTCAAATTTGCCTCAGCTGTTCAATTAATGAATGCAGCACCTCTTAAGAGTAATCAATCATAGCTTTAATTTCATCTCTCTCACTCTTTCTAGAATATCTTCACGAAAGGCTGGGGTGGTTATTGATTTTCTTTTTTAGCTTCTGAAATAATATTTCTAAATCAACGGTTTCTCTCAGAGACTTTTTGATTTGGAGAGTGTCACCTATTAAGTTCTACATGCCCATCACCTGTGGCTTATCATTCAACATCAAGATGGCAGTGGTAGAAACCAAGGCGTTTGATGGAGTCATTAACATCCAGCACCTTGAAGGGCTAATGGCCCACCCACCATCACCAACACACAGGCAGGGCTTGCCCTACCCTAAAACAACCAGCTGCCTCAGGTGGCAGATGCTGGGGGTGGCATCAAAATCTAGGAGGGCAGAGTTATGTGTGCCTCATGGCTTGCTACGTGCCCACTAAGGTACCATGATGCTTTCAAGTGTTGTGGAGGATGCTGTCATGTGACCTTCAACCACTGCTGCCTGTCTACTTGGTTTCTCTACTTGGCATTGGGGAAGGTGCTATCTTGACCTTTGCCTCAGGCAGCAAAATGTCTTGGCCTGAGCACAGACAGGAGAGGAAGCAGAAGGGGAAACAACAACAACAACAACAACAACAACAACAACAACAACAATTCATTATTTATACCCCACCCATCTGGCTGGGTTTCCCCAACCACTCTGGGTGGCTCACAGCATATATCAGAACATACTAAACATCAAACATTTAAAACTTCCCGATAGAGGGCTGCCTTCAGATGTCTTCTAAAAGTCAGATAGTTGTTTATTTCCTTGACATCCAAAGGGAGGGTGTTCCACAGGGAGGGCGCCACTACCGAGAAGGCCCTCTGCCTGGTTCCCTGTAACCTCACTTCTCGTGGTGAAGGAACCAGCAGAATACCCTCAAAGGAGGACCTCAGTGTCCTGGCTGAATGATGGGGGAGCAGTTGCTCCTTCAGGTATACTGGGCTGAGGCTGTTTAGGGCTTTAAAGGTCAGCACCAACACTTTGAATTGTGCTCGGAAATGTAGTGGGAGCCAATGTAGGTCTTTCAGGACCGGTGTTTTATGGTGCTGTAGCTCAGAAGCAAAGCATCTGATTTGCCTGCAGAAGATCCTGAGTTCAAGCCCAAATGACCTGAGAAGGACTCCCTACCTGAAACTCAGGAGAGCTACTGCCAGGCAGTGAAGACAGTAGGGCACTAGATGGACTTGACTTGGTATAAGACGGCTTCCTATGTTCCAGTGAACGGTACCTGCCAGTAGGATAAACCTGAAGGCTGGTACAAGGACAATGCAGGAAAAACTACTAGGGGTTGGACAGGGATTTTGGGGAGCTGGGTCTTGCCTGCTGGTTGCCAGATGACCATCTGTGGTTGAGACATAGCCCAGCATAGTGACCTTCTGCCTGCACTGCAGAGACATCCCAATCTTACAGATGAACCTGCCTTATACTGAGTCAGACTGTTTGTCCATCTAGCCTAATGCTGCCTATTCTGACTGGCAGTGGGTCTCCTAGTTTCCCGGCGGGACATTCCCACCCCTAGATGGAAATACTGGGGATCGAATCTGTGACCTTCGACAATGGAAAGCAGATGCTCTCCCACTGACCTAAGATCCATCCTTTAAGGCATAGGATGTTTCCTCAAACTGCATCAAGACCATGGATCCATCTGACTCAGTATGGTCTACACTGCCTGGCAGCGGCTCCCCAGGGTTTCAGGCAGGCGTCTCTCCCAGCCCTACCTGGAGATGCTGGGAATGGAATCAGTGACCTTCTGCATGCCAAGCAGGTGTCCTGCCATTGACCTATCCTCCCCGCTGTTTCTCTTTCTTCCAGAAGCAAGCCATGTAGATGAAACCAAGAGAACAGAACACAACACTTACCCGTGTTATTATCCAAACTGACTCCAAGGATTGGAACAATCCTCCCTCCTTCTGGGAACCTCATAGGCCCCCCCAATTCAAGAGGCGTCACCGTTCCTGTTAGAGGATTCAGGTATGTCCCACCCAAAGACAGCTTCTGGCCAGTTTGGGGGTGAATGGTGACGGCAAGTATTGGCACCTCGATCCCCGTCGCTGGGTCTTGCATGAGGCCTCCCAGTTTAAACACTTTCTCAGGCTGTAGGACTGGCAGGCGAGTCTTCACTGGTAGACCAGAGTGGAGACACACGGGATACGGGACATAGGGCAAGATGGGAACTTCAGAGTGACGAATCTCCCCTAAGCAGAGAAACCAAAGGTGGTTACAGTCTATGTGGGATATAATCCATTGATGCAGTCAAATGCAACATTCCTTATTTCCCTAGAGTTGGCACAGGCAGGGGGGCATACAGTCAGTGTAACTTTCTGTTCCACTGGTGTGGAGCATCCTCCCCCTGCATGTGACCTGGGAGATGGGCGTGGCCCTGGCTGACTCCATAAAAGAACCGAGTCACGCAGCCATTTTCTCAGTCGCAGTCTAGTCTTGAAGTTGTCTTGTTCCAATGTTGTCTTGTTCTATGTTTTGCTGCCATGCTGCTCTCCAGCAGCCATTTTGTTGTCTTAATGTAATTTTGCTGTCTGCTGGCTCTCAGCCAGCAGCACATGAGTTCAGTCTCCATATGAGATGAACTCAATGTTTCTTATGTAACTACTAAGAAAAGTCTGCCTTTCAGGGATCATAATGTGAACTGAAATGTGAGTAAACTTTTTGTTACTTTACTCAGAAAGACTTTCGTGTCTTTATTCTGTTAGGAGGGATAAAAGGGGACATCAGGAAATAATCATAACTAAGAGAAGGGGACGTGGGTGGCGCTGTGGGTTAAACCACAGAGCCTAGGACTTGCCGATCAGAAGGTCGGCAGTTTGAATCCCTGTGACGGGGTGAGCTCCCGTTGCTCAGTCCCTGCTCCTGCCAACCTAGCAGTTCAAAAGCACGTCAAAGTGCAAGTAGATAAATAGGTACTACTCTTGCGGGAGGGTAAACGGCATTTCCGTGTGCTGCTCTGGTTCGCCAGAAGCGGCTTAGTCATGCTGGCCACATGACCCGGAAGCTGTACGCTGGCTCCCTCGGCCAATAAAGCAAGATGAGCGCTGCAACCCCAGAGTCGGCCACGACTGGACCTAATGGTCAGGGGTCCCTCGTCGCGGGGATTCGAACCGCCGACCTTCTGATCGGCAAGTCCTAGGCTCTGTGGTTTAACCCACAGCGCCACCCGCGTCCCTGGAGTCCTTGGGTAGTGGAGTGCAAAGATCCCCGTCTAAATCTTTGGGGAAATGGTGTCAGTCAGAGCAGATGGTCCAGTGGTCTTCCTCTACATATGGCAGCTCTAGGTGCATCGGTTGGGCAACAACCAGTTCATGATTGGTTACAGGTTCCAATGTGATGATGGTTCAACAACAGTACACCAAGCTAGCACCTCCATATAGGGCTGATTAATGGAGTTATAGAACAACCATGGCTCTTACCAGGTGCTAAATCAACCACAGGGATCAGCTTAGAGTTGACTGGGTCGAAGCCAACATTCCCAGCTATCGGGAGCAATCTTCCTGTGTCGGGGTTCAGGAAGTGGTGGGCAGATACAGGCTCCATGGACTGATTGGCCAGCAGCATGACCGCACCATGGCTGGGCATTATCAGTCCAGTGGTAGCATCCTGGTGCAGGACATCGTGTGCCTTCACAGAGCCATCTGATCCTGGGAAGAGCAATGGAAAGATACACACAGACTCAATGGTACAGCTGAGTAACTTTCTGCAAAGGATACTTGCTTAAGAGATGAGGCTGCCCCTCAGGCATTCCTGGGAACTGTAGCTCATCCAAGGCAGGCTCCCCCAAACTTGGCCCTCCAGCTGTTTTCTGGACTACAGTTCCCATCATCCCTGACCACTGGTCCTGTTAGCTAGGGATGATGGGAGTTGTAGTCCCAAAACAGCTGAAGTGCCTGATCCAAGGGATGGGGAACCCTCTGGATTTTGTTGGGCTCCAACTCCCACCATTCCTGACCATTGGCCATGCTGGCTCGGGCTGGTTGAGTTGGAGTCCACAGATGGATAGCCACAAGTTCCCCATCCTTGGGCTGGGATATCTGACAACAAATACTCTACCTGCACAGAACAACTCTTCCCATGAATCTTTTTTGTGTGCGTGTGGAGGGGAGGGAGCCATCACAAACAAATTTCAATTATGCATACATATTGTGCAGATGTGCCCAATGAAGAAAAAACCCTATGGGAAGCTAAGAGTTTACATTTACCTACAAGCTCCGCCTTGGTGAGTAGCCTGGTTCTCTCTCTGTTAACAAGGTGAGCTCCCGTTCCTTCTCCCAGGATGCCCCATGCCATGAGCCTACGAGTCTCCTGTATGACAGTGCTGGACACCTGGTTGCTTGCAGCATCGATGAGGCTTAATAACCTGAAGCCACCATGATAAGAAGCAAAAAGCAGAAATAAAATGGTCTCAGGGTATCCACTCTGAGGTAGGGAAGTCAGGTCTGAATATAAACAGTTCCCCATAAATAAGAAGAACTGATAAGAGGTATTATCAGGGTTCAAGGGTGCATCCCAGCCAGTCAAAAACACTCAAGGAGGGTGTGAAGCAGGGCCCATGAGATGTGAGGCCAGGAGTTGGGGGTCCTGGGAGGGGCAGGCCTGAGGATTCAACATCGCTACCTCAGATCACATTAAGTACACACTGAAATAAAGTCTTAATGCACAGCCAGGTCATAATGTCACTGAAGCTTTGACATGTCGCAAAGAATGGCCCTTACCTGTGATGGGCTGATTTAGAGCCTGAGACTTGACCTTCCTCAGAAGACAGAGCCTCTGCCAGGGCCTCTGTCAACCTTATGGCTTCCCGCAGCGCAGAATTAAATGCCACCCAGTGCTCCTCACGTCGTTTCATGTCCTGGCTCAGTAAGTGGAGCTGCCTGCTCACGCTTTCTTCATATTCTGTGGCCAGGTGCTTTCGGAGCAGAATCTCCTCCTCCACCTAATGAAACATTAAATCCACACACTCACAATTGGGATGGCCAAACCAGGCAATTTCAGTTTCTCCCAGTTTCTTCTTGTTTCAGTTTACCTCATTTTTTCTTCTCTTTTTTTGAAATAGATTTTTTTTAATTTTCCAAAATATAAACATACAACAAAAACAATTCCCAATCTAATTATCGAGATTACTTTGAATCTCCTGACTTCCCCCCATCCCTTCCATGGGTCCTATTGATTCTATTTTCAACTGCAAATCAGTTCTTCTCCAGTTTTTCATCTTCCTAAATTATCTATATGTTCTGTTACATTACAAGTGTGTGTTTAAAATCCTGCTGGTGTTTTGACCTGTTTACAATGATTTTTCATATACATTATAAACATTTCCAATTCTTTTTAAAATTTCTTGTCTTCTTGATTCCTGAGCTTCCCAGTTAGTTTTGCCATTTCAGCATAGTCCATCAACTTGATTTGCCATTCTTCTCTGGTTGGCGTTATCTCTTCCTTCCATCTCATGTGTTTGTGTGTTTTTCTTTTTTCTTTTAAAAAAAATTCAGATGAAAGCAGGGCTATATTTTGTATGCATTTATCCTGATTCACGCATTTCAGCAAGCAAATTTCCCTACTATAATGTATGTGCTTTTTTGTAAACTTTTTTTTTGTGTGTGTGTGGGGGGGGGGAACTGCATCACAAACTCTAGAGGACAAAGTGTTTTGAAGTATACCTGCATTTCAGTTTGCAAGTAGGTTGGGAAGAACAAATTTCGTAGGTTCCCATTAAAATGAAACCAGATACCGTATTTTTCGCCCCATAGGACGCACTTTTTCCCCTCCAAAAATGAAGGGGAAATCTGGGTGCGTCCTATGGGGCGAAAGGCTTCGCTGAAGCCTGGAGAGCGAGAGGCATCGGTGCGCACCGACCCCTCTCGCTCTCCAGGCTTCAGGAAGCTATCCGCAAGCCTTGCAAGCCTGGTGGGAGTACCCGCGGGCTCACAAGGCTTGCGGGCAGCAGCCTGCAGCCCCGGCGAGTGTCTGCAAGCTTCCCGCGCCCGGCAGGAGGTCCCACCGGGTGCGCGAGGCTTGGGGCGGCAGCCTGTCGCCCGAAGCACGGGGAGCCCTCCGGAGGGCTGCCCCTGCTTCGGGCGAGTGTCTGCAAGCCTCCCGCGCCCGGCAGGAGGTCCCACCGGGTGCGCGAGGCTTGGGGCGGCAGCCTGTCGCCCGAAGCACGGGGAGCCCTCCGGAGGGCTCCCCCTGCTTCAGGCGAGTGTCTGCAAGCCTCGCGCGCCCGGCAGGAGGTCCCACCGGGTGCGTGAGGCTTGGGGCAGCAGCCTGTCCCCCCGAAGCACGGGGAGCCCTCCGGAGGGCTTCCCCTGCTTCGGGCAGGTGAGCGCAAGGCTTGGGGCAGCAGCCAGGGCTGGGGGGGGGAAAATAATTTTTTAAAATTCATTTCCCCCCAAAAAATGAGGTGCGTCCTATGGGCCAGTGCGCCTTATAGGGCGAAAAATACGGTAATTTCTCCCTCATGGCATGGATTCCTTCATCCACAAAATTGGTTCTTTTTGTTTCACACTGTCCTGCATAGCATGATGGCAGAGGCTTTGACTTGTAAGACAGACAGCTTTGTTCAGTATAGGTTCAGTAGCAAACATGGCTGTAGGAATCAAGAGTTCAGGAGCTGGTCAAGAAGTTCGGGACCAGATGAAGATGTCCCATCTCACCTCACCTGTATCCTTCCCTTCTGATTCAAGCTCAGTCTTTCCCAGTAGCTACTGCCATCCTCCCTAGGTCCTGATGAGGTTCTTTGCTCTATTATTGCTGTCCCACTTAAGCTGATGCAACTGTAGTGTATTACTGGTGGGTTATTGCACGAGAACAGGCCTCCAGACAGCAATAATGTGGTAACACTGGGGAAGTATCACAAAGTAATGAATAAAGTGGAATGATATATGGATGGTCCATTATAAAGAGGTGGTGCTGTGGTCTAAACCACTGAGCCTCTTGGGCTTGCCGATCAGAAGGTTGGCAGTTCAAATCCCCGTGACAGAGTGAGCTCCTGTTGCTCAATCCCAGCTCCTGCCAACCTAGCAGTTCAAAAGCATGTCAAAGTGCAAGTAGATAAATAGGTACCACTCTGGCAGGAAGGTAAACGGAGTTTCCGTGCACTCTGGCTTCTGTCGCAGTCTTCCATTGCACCAGAAGCAGTTTAGATCATGCTGGCCACATGACATGGAAAGCTGTCTGTGGACAAATGCCAGCTACCTTGGCCTGAAAGTGAGATGAGCGCCGCAACCCCATAGTCGTCTTTGACTGGGCTTAACCATCCAGGGGTCCTTTACCTTTGTACCTACCATTATAAATCCAGCAGTAACATACTACAGTTGCATCAATGGCATGTTGAAAATCACCAGTCTGGAGGGGCCCAAAGAGCATGCTTAAAAAAATAAAATAAATTGCTAATAACTTCTGTGGGTGATGACAATTTTTTTTTTGCAACCCCCCAGAAACCCCACAAAAATGTTTCCTGACCACAAGTCAATGCAGCCCTTGATCCCAGAAAGATCAGCCACCCCTGCTTTAATCAGAAATAACTGATCATCTGGAGAGGTATTTGATTTATTCAGTCTTCTACCTGCTGTTTTGCTTTGACATAGTTCCCCATCAGTACATCATCACAAGGATCAGCTCTGTCAGGGATGCACAGCTTGGCTAGCCAAAGATCTCTGAGCATGGCTGCTTCATCCAGAAGTTTATGGTACAAGATTTTCAGCTGCAAAGGGAAAGGAAGCACGCAAAATGAGCAGGTTGTGCTGGGCTTGGCTCCCATTTTATGCTCCCATATTCTCTGTGCATGCAACTATAAGACATATGCAATTGTTATAGCAATCTATTAGAAATAGTCTAAAGCAGGAAGAACTGAGGAAGAGGGAACAGTACTCTTAAAAATGGCTCAGGTGCTATGCTAAACCAGGGGCCCTCCAGATGTTGAGGGACTACAACTCCTATAGAATATGCAGTGTGGGGGTAATGGGAGTTGGAGTCCATCAACATCTGGATATGTTGTTACCTTATTCCTGTGCTAAAATAAGGGAAGGACCCTTTGGCTCCTTAGACCCCAAAGAAGGGATTTCTAAAAGGTGCTAGAACTTTAATACTCCTGGAACACAGCTACATTAGTAAAAAAAAACAACCCAGCGTTTTGAATGCGTTATAAACATGCAACACCAGATGTCGCTTAGAAGATGTTGCTCTTCTAAGTCCCTCAGGTGAAGGCTGAGCTCTTCAGACACTGCCTGTTCTTACTTTCCTCCTCGCAGAGCCACCCTCCTGCTTCCACGATGCCAACCCCCGACAATGACTTCTAAAACCACCTCAGCCGGTGAAAATCCAAACAGAGGAAACAACCACTAGGCACCTCTTCCTTAAACTGGCTCAATTTAGCTGTAACTGCCAGAGACTGCGCGACCAGGATTTCAAAGAAGGCATTGGTATTGAATGAGTCCAGATCTATTTGTTCTTCCGTGTCCCATATTTCACACTTGCCTAGGAAGAGAGGTAAAATGAGTGCTGCAATATTAGCACAAACAGCAATAGTAATAATAATAATCATAGCCACAGTAATAATAACAGAGGAATGTGAAGGTGGCGTGTGTGTTAAGGAGAGTAGAGGAGCACAGCAACAATATCCTGCTCAATACATTCATAATATATACTAATTATTGCTAACACTTGCTTGGATAAGTTCCATCCACTGGTAAGCATTGTTAGATTGGGCTGTAAGGTAGAGTACTACTGTATTCCCATTCTACAGACAGAAAACTGAGGCCGAAGCATAGTGACTTGTGTTAAAAACAAAACACTGAGAATTTTGTTAGCTAAAAACTGGAAACTACAAGAAATACCAACAGTGGAGGAATGGCAGATGAAGATGATGGACTTTTTCGAGCTGGCCGACCTGACTGGAAGAATCCGCGAACAGAAAGAGGAGGAGTATCAAGAAGAATGGAAGAAATTTAAGGACTATTTACCGGTAGTTAAATATTCTATGATAATATAAGTAGAACTACCTGTAAGTACCAAAGTGGCCTAGGAGTTAAATATGTTAAATTGTATAACATTATGGATAGAAGACAATATGAAAAGAAAGAAAGATGTTAATTGATTAAGTTAATCTCATTTGAAAGTAGTATTGGAAAACTGCTACAATGAGTTATATAGAAACTTAGCTAGGGGGATTTGAGGAAGTCATCTAACAATGATAACAAAATTGGGATTTTAACAGGATAAATGTTTGTCTGTTTTCTTTTTTTATTGTAAGGTAATGTTTTTCTTTTATGTTTGTTATAAATTTGGAAAACTAATAAAAATTTTTGAACAAAACAAAACAAAACAAACATTGAAGCCATTCTTGACTGTAGTGGGATTTGAATGTAGGTATCCCTTGTTTCTTAACAACAACAACAACAACCTAGTCAATTGATCACACTGATATGAGCTCAGCAGATCCCCTGTGACAGGGATGATCCTGTGGCCCTTCTGATGTTGAGCAACAACTCTTATCATTCAATTAGCCAGCATGATGGAGGTTGTAGTCCAGCAACATCTGGAAGGCACCACAAGTTGAAGTTCATTCTGAATTATGCGAAGAAGAAAATCACACGGATTCTGGGGTAGCATTTGCAACAGCATCCTCCATGCCTTAACACAATACCCCTCCCCTCCGAGTGCAAACCAATATTTATCAAGGCAGGGTAAGTAACCTGTGACCCTCCAGTTGTTGTTGGAGGACTCCAACTCCCATTGGCTCCAACCACCATGGTCAATAGTAAGGGATGATGGGCTCTGTAGTGCATCTGGAGGGTCAGAGTCCCACAGACCCCAAATCTAAATTAATCCAAAGGTTAGTTGGCAGTAAGGAAAGGATTTTATGGTACCTCTCATGAAGAAGCAGTCCTCCATGGATGCACCCATCAAACACGATTTGGTTCTTTATTTATGTGCAGTATCTGTATCATATACTGTAAAAGATAATTCATACCTTCTCTTTTCTCCATGTGGCTGAAGTTCTTTTCCAAACTGCCTGCTTGCTGCATTCCAGGGTGATATTTTCTGAGGGTAAGGACTGTGGATTCTTTGGAGGAATATTTGTCTATATTATATTTCAGCTGTAACCTTCGGAACCGTGGGGAAGGGCTTCCTTTCCTGGACAGGCCAAAGGTTTGGCAAAAAGTCTGAAAAATTCATGAGAAAAGTATTTACAGGGAGCAGGGACATTTCCACATTCCCAGGAAAACACACACACACACACACACACACACTGTTCACACATTACATTCAACAAGTGTACAATCTGTATACCTGTGTATACAATAACTGTGCTGTACAAATCAGCAAGCGTTCACTCTTTCTCACAAAGACTTGTACATGTGTAGAGACAGCTTGCACCTGTGGTCAGTGTAATGTGTGAATAAGGCCTACAAATAGACAAAATTAGGGGGTAGTTGCCTCCCCTTGTCTTTCATTTACTCACAATCAGTAGCAGGCAAACAATGAGGAGAAAGACGACTCCGAATATAATCCCAATAATTGCTCGCCAGTCAGGTTTCAGAATGAGGTCTGGGATCCTGGCAACCCCCACTTGCACCATGTGTCTGGGAGTCGTTGGGAAGAAGGGACCCTCGTCGTAACACTGCCCACCATACGGCATGACTCTGACATACTTCGGGAAAGGAACAGACAGACACAGGGAACCCAGGTCAGAGGCACAAAGGAGGAAGATTCACACATAGCCACAAACACAGAAAGGGGTGTCTGTAAGGACCAGATGAGATGTATACATCATGTAATTGTGTTTTGTAACATTTAGCTTCAAGACCACTGATTTCATTGTGAATTTTTTTTCAGCTAGCTTGCTTTGATATCTGATTTATCATGGGTAATTTTAATGTAAACCTCTAAGAGGTTTTGATTTTTAAACATCATATAAATCCTGTCCCCCCCCCACATACTTGCATTTACCAGGAAGAGTTTTAGGGGGGGATTATTAAATGGAAACTTAATAAACTAGGTCTGTGCGATAATTATTTCAGATCCCACCAAGTCTGGAGTGGAAACTTAACCTTGCCTCCCTGCTAGGATGCTGAGGAAAATACTCCCCCCCCCCCAGCTGGAATTTATTTTGTATGGAGGGGAGGGGCAGTACAAACTGGCGGATTTCTTCCCAATTCAGTTACCGGTTTTAAAGGAATTATTTTCTTCAGGACCTCAGCAGGGGAGAGAAGGGGTTAATTTCCCCTTTCCACACCTGCTGGGATTCCAGTACTTATTATTGGGCATGATATAATTTCCTCTTAAAATGAAACAAACAAACAAACAAACAAACAAACAAACGGCCAAGAACTCTGCACAATAAATGCAAATATGTATTTAACACCAGATCTTGTTTGGTCCTAAGATGAGATGACCAGTTCCATAGCTGGACCCCCACTTCAACGCACTTCTTACATAAAGGTAAAGGTAAAGGGACCCCTGACCATTAGGCCCAGTCGTGTGGGGTTGCGGCACTCATCTCACTTTATTGGCCGAGGGAGCCGGCATACAGCTTCCAGGTCATGTGGCCAGCATGACTAAGCCGCTTCTGGCAAACCAAAGCAGCGCACGGAAACACCGTTTACCTTCCCACCAGAGTGGTACCTATTTATCTACTTGCACTTTGACGTGCTTTCGAACTGCTAGGTTGGCAGGAGCAGGGACTGAGCAACGGGAGCTCACCCCATCACGGGGATTCGAACCGCCGACCTTCTGATCAGCAAGTCCTAGGCTCTATGGTTTAACCCACAGCGCCACCCGCGTCCCTCATCTGATGTAAATAATAATAAATAATAATTTTATTATTTATACCCCGCCCATCTAGCTGGGTTTCCCCAGCCACTCTGGGCGGCTTTCAACAGAATATTAAAATACAATAGTCTGTTAAATATGAAAAGCTTCCCTAAACAGGGCTGCCTTCAGATGTCTTCTAAAAGTCTGGTAGTTGTTTTCCTCTTTGATATCTGGTGGGAGGGCGTTCCACAGGGTGGGTGCCACTACCGAGAAGGCCCTCTGCCTGGTTCTCTGTAACTTGGCTTCTCGCAGCAAGGGAACCGCCAGAAGGCCCTCGGCGCTGGACCTCAGTGTGCAGGCAGAATGATGGGGGTGGAGATGCTCCTTCAGGTATACTGGACTGAGGCCGTTGGGAGGGTGATGTTGGCAGAAATGACCTTTTTGGTTGTAGCCCCTCAGGAAGTTTCCCTAGGGCTCATCCTATTGTTTTGGTGCCAAGCAGATCCTTCTAAAAATTTACCCATGTGCTTCAGCCTGTTCTAGAGCTCCTTTTTAGTTTTATGGCGGAGTTGGGGTAGACTTTGTTAGTTTGATGGGCCGCTGTTTCTGTGCTCTGATATTTGCTTTTGTAGTTCTGCTGTTTTCTTTTATGATCTGTGCCACGAGTTTTATATTGAAAGGTGGCCCAAAAGTTATGTAAACCAAGGATTAAGCTGCTGAACCAATGGCCCATCCCTCCCACAGATGAGACACACCACCCATTGCAAATGTTTATCAGACTAATGAATGCACCTCACTGGGAACTCCTTTGTAAGCAAACATGCCAGGACCTGAAACAAACCATTCTTTTGTGCTGGTTGCTACTTAGCCTCAAGACATAAGTTCCGGGATCATGGAACTGGTAAAGGAAGAGCAGGAAGTTGTCGGAGCCTGAGGACAACTTAGCTTCTTCTGCTAGGCTGCGGAAACCTCCCCAGTCAAACTCGTGGTTTGTATTGTACAGGCTGTTGCTAAGGAAAGACACAAGACAAACATGTTGGCTGCCCAAATTATCTCGATTCCAAAAATGGTACTTGCAGTTTTAACTGTGCTTCCGTCCTCCGCGCGACAGACAGGACAGCGATGCAAGATTAAACAGAATTTATGTATTAGGGAAGCTGATATCCATTTATATCAGTTTTACCGATCACAGGAAATAGAAGGACATTCTGTGTTGACAATATTTGTGTTGATAATTACCTGCTCAGAAAATGGCAGCCAAAATGATCAGGTGTGTGGAACAACTTCCATATGAGTAATGGTTAAAATATCTGGGACTTTCTAGTTTAGAAAAAAGGAAGTCCGGGGACGGGGTGAGGGTGCCATTAAAAATGATGCACGGAGTTGAGAAAGTGGATAGCGGTTTTTATTTGTCATGCATAATCGTGGAACTGGGGGTTCATACGATGAAGCTGATTGGTGAGAGATTGTGAAACAGGATGCTGAGCTAGATAGGCCTTTGATGTAATCCAGCAGGGATCTTCTGATGGAAAATGTACATTTACTACCCAAGCGCCATCTCAGCAAAACATCTGCTTTAACTTCTCCATGGGAGTATATTTAACTGTGCAAGTAAGTTTCCCCATGGCTAACTCTTAAGAATGTGGGAGCACCCATACTTCGGAACTCCCTTATTGACATGAGGCAGGCACCCAGTAAAAATATATTTGTTTAGTCAAGCCTGTTCAGACCTGTAGAATGATGATCATAGAACTGTAGAGTTGGAAGGGACCCTTAGGATCATCTAGTCCAACCCCCTGAAATATAGGAATATGCAGTTTTCTCACATGGGGATCGGACCAGCAACCTTGGCATTATCACCATCACACTCTGATCTGGTTTTTAGCTTAGCATGGATTTTAATTGTTTTTGAATGTTTTATATAGGTGTTTTTAACTGATAATTGCATTGTTTTGTTCTTCTGCTTTGAGTTTGTTGTTGTTGTTTACAATCCAGCTGTATATAAATTTTATGAAATAAATACGTTTTGAGGCAATTTTTGTACGTTCCTTTCATTAGTAATATGTATTTGTATGCACCCTTTATGCTAGTAGACCCATTTTTGTACAGTGGTACCTCGGGTTAAGTACTTAATTCGTTCTGGAGGTCCGTTCTTAACCTGAAACTGTTCTTAACCTGAAGCACCACTTTAGCTAATGGGGCCTCCTGCTGACGCTGTGCCGCGCCGCCAGAGCATGATTTCGGTTCTCATCCTGAAGCAAAGTTCTTAACCTGAGGTACTATTTCTGGGTTAGTGGATTCTGTAACCTGAAGCGCATGTAACCTGAAGTGTATGTAACCCGAGGTACCACTGTACACATTATTTGACTGGAGAATTGCATTGCAAAATTCAGTGTGAATTTCAAAGAATGGCTGTGTTTCGGTTTGCACGTTGTTCAGAATGCACGAACGAGGCCTCCCCACCGCAATGCTTACTTACACATCATAAACTGGATAATGGTCTTTAGAAACAATGAACATGACAATGTCGTGAATCTTGAGGCATGTAGTAGGGTTGAGGATGCCACTGAACGTCATTTTCAGTGTAGAATCGGAAGGTTGCTGGGGCCAGGACTTGTAAAATGCAGTATCTTCTTCTCTAGATGTCCCTGTGTGGACATAAAAACCAAGTGAAGCGGGATCTGCATACAACTGATAATTCGCATATGAAAAAAGCTTTAGGAATCTGCTCAGGGCTTATGTGGCTCATGCTTGTGTCAAAAGTCAATTCCAACTGGGTGGTGTACAAGCATACTATTTAGTACTGGCAGAAAAAAAGCACTACAATACCTGTAGATGCCATGGAGTGCAATCTATTTTGGGAGTCTAATAGAACTGCATTTGAGGTAAGGAAGTAGTGTAGGAGCTCTGGTTCAGGATCGTACACCCCCAGGAATCCTCTTCCTGAAATGACATTGAAAAAAACCAAATAAACCAAAGGTCATAGGCCTGCTCTCTCTGCCTAGACTTCTTCTAGGTGACCTGCATTCATCCAGGTTTGTTTGCAGGGAGGTCGCATCAGCCAAGTGTTATCCACACTTTCCAATGCAGCAACAAACTGCTTTGCATATTTACTTGCAGGACCAGGCACCAGACTTCCCATATCCCAACCCATATAAATAAGAGACCAATAAGACTCTGTTTTGGGTAAAAACAGGCCACAACTTTATTGAATACAGTGGTACCTTGGTTCTCAAACGCCTTGGTTCTCAAACGCTGAAACTCGGAAGTAAGTGTTCTGGTTTTCGAACGTTTTTTGGAAGCCGAACATCTGATACGGCTGTCGGCTATTGTTTCTGGGGTGCCTGCACCAATCAGAAGTTTTGCCTTGGTTTTTGAACATTTCAGAAGTCAAAAGGACTTCTGGAACAGATTAAGTTTGGCGCTTTTGTTTTTGCGATTTATTTTGCATTTTTGTTTTTGAGGCTTTTCCGGTTAATTTGTTTTTGTGACTGTGTGGAACCCAGTTCAGCTACTGATTGATTGATTGTGTTACTGTGGAAATGGATAGAAGTCAAACAATCAATGCAGGTAAGAAAAAAAATTTAATTTTATTTTTTATCATCTACAATGCTGTCTTATTTATTTTATAGTACAGTACATGGATTATTGCTTTCATTTTACGGATCAATGGTCTCATCAGATAGTAAAATGCATGTTAAATTGCTGTTTTAGGGGTTGTTTTTTAAAGTCTGGAATGGATTAATCTGTTTTGCATTACTTTCTATGGGAAAGCGCGTCTTGGTTTTGGGGCACTTTGGTTTTGGAACAGACTTCCGGAAAGGATTAAGTTTGAGAACGAAGGTACCACTGTACAGATGAAAGAGGTTTGGCTTGGGCATGGGGCAACCTAAATACTTCTGGCCCAACAGCTGGAAGTGATGAGTGGTCAATCCAGGCGGGGGTTCCTAAGACTTACATCCAATAGGGTGATCCCCACAGGGACCGCAGTCTGGGGGAAAGCCTTTGGCTCTGGCCCCCCTGGGCACGCAGACATGGCCACTCCCCCTAGATCCCTTTAACACAGCGGTTCTCAACCTGTGGGTCCCCAGATGTTGTTGGACCACAACTCCCATCATCCCTGAGCTCAGGCCTTGCTACCTAGGGGTGATGGGAGTTGTAGTTCAACAACATCTGGGGATATACAGGTTGAGAAAGGCTGCTTTAACGGGATACCCCAGCATTTGGAGGGGCAGGCAGGGACTACAACCCTGAGGGAAGCCCACTGGCTCCGCCCATGTCCCAGCCTGCATCCCCATTGGCCAATATAGGGTGCAGGCTAGGATCTGGCTTCTGATAGGTGGCAGGGGCTTATGCCCTCACCGCCTATCAGGAAGGGCACTGCTGTTTGAATTCCACCGTTGGGACCCCAGTGAAACCTCTTCCGTCCAGCAATGCTGCCACACCAAGAGCGACAGTATAAAAGCAATTCAGATAATTCAAACAAATAATAATAAAACAACAACAGGGTCTGATCTGATGGGCCAGTGTAATCCTGGCAAAATGATATTTCATTGCAAGACACTTGATGCAACGGAGGGGTGCTGCATGGCATGCAGAAGCTTCAACCCCTGACATTTCAGCGCTTCACATTTCCACACCAGTTTGCATTTTAATATAATTTCCTCCTAATATAAACATTTGTATGCAATTTTGTGTAATATGTTTTTGCAGAACAATTTCCATTAAAACAATGCATTTTCGTATATGTTATTTTCACCAATATATGCATTTTTATGGACATTTTCTCACCATATATGTATTTTTGTACATACCGCTTGGCTGGACACCTGCACTGCAATATTTATAAAAGTGTGAATTTTGAAGAATGGGCTGTGTTTTGGTTCTTGTGTTGTTTTGGAAAGTATGAAGTCGTTTCGGCTTTCAATGAGAACTGAATCAAGTTTCTCCGCCAAATATTTGTGGTTCATCTTTTTCTTTTCTTTTTTGCTGTCTATGTTTGTTCTTACTACACTTTACTTCTAACCCACTCTCTTGATCTGCTTTGCAAGACGAGCAGTCTAAAAATGCTTTTAAATAAATAAAACACAATCACTTTATCTCTGGAGCTTCGAGGCCAACTGGCAAATGGATTGCTTTTGATTTACCACATTTGTCTGCAGAAATCAAACACCAAGCCAAATACGGTTATTTGTACAAGCCAAAAACAGCAGTGGAGTTTCTTTAGGTAATGACAGATATATCTAAATTGTGCACTTAAATCAGTCTTCTACTATGCTGTCAGGAAACAGAGGAAACAGGAAAATGCGCAACACACACACAGAGTAATCATAGGGAAGGCAGAATATTAATCAAACAGGATTAAGAGTGGAAAACTGTAAGAAAAAGAGAGATTGGGTGTGATGTTGTCATTCTAGCATCCAACTAGAATTTGGGAGACCTGAGTTCAAATTTTCCCTGTCATAAAGATCACTAGGTGACCTTGAGCTGGTCACAGTCTCTCAGCGCAGCCTAACTCACAGGGTTGTTCTGAAGATAAAATGGTGAGGGTGGATGGAGCCAGTTAAGCTAAAGGTAAAGGTAAAGGGACCCCTGACCATTAGGTCCAGTCGTGACCGACTCTGGGGTTGCGGCACTCATCTCGCTTTATTGGCTGAGGGAGCCGGTGTACAGCTTCCGGGTCATGTGGCCAGCATGACTAAGCTGCTTCTGGTGAACCAGAGCAGCACATGGAAACGCCGTTTACCTTCCCACCGAAGCGGTACCTATTTATCTACTTGCACTTTGACATGCTTTTGAACTGCTAAGTTGGCAGGGGCAGGGACCGAGCAACGGGAGCTCACCCCATCATGGAGATTCGAACCGCCGACCTTCTGATCAGCAAATCCTAGGCTCTGTGGTTTAACCCACAGCCACCCGCATCGCCAGGTACGCTACCTTGAACTATTTGGAGGGAAAAGGCGTTATAAATGCAATCCATAAATCAAAATGACAGAACTTGTTCCTTACCACTTGTTTTTACCACGTATACAGGGCACGATTTCTTGTTCTCCTCCGAGGTGCACCCATTTAGTGTGTGGAAATCTAACAGCTGCAGCGACGCTCTTATCTCTTCCAATAAAACGTCAAGCTATAAAGAATTGAAAGGAGAAGTCTTGAGAGCCCAGGCTTCACATCCTGGCAGTATTTGCACTGATGGGCCATCAGTTTGGATGTACGCAACGGAACTGGCTAAAGCACCGCAGCTCTCAGTACATTTTGCAATGATATGCAGGGGTGCCAAAAGGAACCTCTACATTAGGGCTGCATAAGTTGTGGTCCTCTGGTTGCTATTGGACTTTGCTGGTTCACCTGGATGTGGGATGGGGATGCTACTGTATCTTGTTGTTGGCTTCAGGCAGTGGAAAGTCTTGACCTGGCCTGGGTGCCGTTGACGCTTCACCCCAATGAAAAGCAGGGTTGCAACCAAGCAGCATCAGTGGCAGAGAGACAAAGGCTGTTTGCACATTACTGCCATAAAACGACAACTAGGTGACTCTTTTTCTCAGTTCACGTTGACGTTGGTTTGAGAGAAAGCGCATCAGAACACAGTGTTTCCTAAGAAATGACAGAATAGATCTGGACTGCGGCTAGTGTTGTTTGTGCATCTCTTCCCAGTTCCACAATGGGAGAGCATTGGGTGCAGTGCAAACAAGAGTCTGCACACAGCCTTAGCAACAAGACTACTGGGAAGGCAGGTTGGGAGGATGTTGGCCCACTAGCCCACCCCACACCTGCCTTGTCAATGCAGCTTCCCAACAAAACAAGTTGCTTATGATCAGCAGTGTACTGACAAATTCAGAAGTGCAGGATCACTCCATAATAGTCATGGCTAGGCTTCCTTGCAGCCACACCCCCTTCTAAGACTATAAATCTAAGATTATGGAATAACCTAATGCAATAATAATAATGAGGGATGCATTGCAACAATCAATACAGATATCCATGTGTTGCCTTTCAGCTACTTCTATTATTTTCTGTGTGCATGATTCAGAATGCTCCAGTATCCTTTTTTTGGGAGTGACTTAAATTGTGTTTTCCTCCAAGTTCCATTGTATGAAACAAAACTTGCACACCATTCTCTTGAAACTGTAGCACCTTGTGTTTTCCCTGTTCCCAAATGCCGAGCTTTGGAGCACAAAGAACAATTCCTCCTCGTTGTTCTTCCTGGGTGCCTTCTCCAGAGTGACCCTGGGAGCCAATCCTCAGTGGCTGACTCACTGCCTTTTGCTCTGATTGGCTCCAATAAGCACAAAGGGAGGGGTGCCCTCCGCTAAGGAAGTCAGATTATCCTCCACCAGGGCCTTCTCAGTGATGGCTCCGACTTGGTGGAATGCTCTGTCCCATGAGACCAGGGCCCTGCAGGATTTAACTTCCTTCTGCAGGGCCTGTAAGACAGAGCTATTCCGCCTGGCTTTCAATCTGAACTTAGCCTGATCTTTTATTCCCCTTCCTTCCCTCCCCCTCCCCTTTTTATGAAGATTACCCGCTCTGGATCCCACAGCTAATTCTCCCCTGGTCTCCTCGCTGGCCCAAATAGGACTAATTTAGCCAGCTAGCCCTGGTGATCATCTAATGTTTATTCGATGTATTTCCCCCCTAAATTGAGTTTTGAATTCTGAATTTATTGTTATTCACATTTTATACTGTATTTTATGCTGAATTTTGAATTCTGAATTTATTGTTATTCACATTTTATACTGTATTTTATGCTGTTTTTTTGTTGCAGCAATTACCGGTAAGTGTTTTAAATTTGTTGTTAGCTGCCCTGAGCCCAGTTTTCTGAACCGAGAAGGGCGGGGTATAAATAAAAATGTATTTTTAATTATTATTATTATTATTATTATTATTATTATTATTCTCAGTGGCTAAAAACTCTCCCCTTTCATGCTGATTGGGCAGCTCTATTGGGCAACAGGGACCCTGCTGGCAACCTGTTAACAGAAATAGCCAAGGGTCTTTAACCCCGCGTGAGCCCAGCCTGTTACACTTCTGCCTATGAGTTCTGGTTGTTTTTGTTTTTTACCTGGCTCCCATTTCTGAAGGCCAAAGAAAATTGGGCTGATTCTTTTTCACTGACAAATTGGAAAATTCTCCTTTGTCGTCTTCGGCACAGGCGGTTGCACAGACTGTCCAGGTTGTCCGCTTGGCAAAGGCAGAGGCCAAGAACTTTGTCGTATCCCTGATAATCTTTGGGGAGAGCACAAACCTAGCAGAGAAAGTGAGATGAACGTAAGGGCTGGCACTCAATGGGGCTGATCCAATGAAGCTGAATGCTGGAAGATTTGGGGGAGACAAAAGAAAGGGTATCTTTACACAGTGCAAAATTAAACTACAGAATTCACTTCCACAGGAGGCAGTCATGGTGACCACCAACTTAGATGACTTTGGAAGGCTACATTCTACCTTCACTGAGAAGAATACAGTGGTACCTCAGGTTACATACGCTTCAGGTTACATATGCTTTAGGTTACATACGCTTCAGGTTACAGACTCCGCTAACCCAGAAATAATACCTCAGGTTAAGAACTTTGCTTCAGGATGAGAACAGAAATAGCACAGCAGCAGCAGGAGGCCCCATTAGCTAAAGTGGTGCTTCAGGTTAAGAACAGTTTCAGGTTAAGCACGGACCTCCAGAACGAATTAAGTACGTAACCAGAGGTACCACTGTATCTGCTGCTCAGAATCACAAGCCGGGAGAGGGCTGTTGTGCTGAAGTCCTCCTTGTGGAATTTCAGTAATGGGCATCTAGTTGTCAGGACTCTGGAAACTGGCCAAAAAGGTGACCCATGACTCCAAAAAAGGGCTGAAAGTGTGGTCTGTGGGTCAGGAAGCCTAAAAAGGACTAAAATCATGACCCACAGGTTAGGACTTGGAACGATGATCTGCTGGTCAGTCCTCTGAAAAATGACTGTAAACATCACTGCAAACACGAGCAAAAATGTTACCCACAAATCAAGATTCTGAAAAATGAGCTGCTACTTGACAGATGTGCTCAGAGCAGAAGACAATGAGTGTGGGAGTAGCTGCTTCGGCTTTGAATTCATCTTTAGGTGGGAAGTTGAAACACTCTCCTCTTTTGTACATTCCGGTCCAGCTCCGCTTGCTGTCAAAGGTGCTAATTAGGAGCTAAGGAAATCCTGAAAAACCTGAGCAGCGACCTAGCTCAAATCTAAAGCCTTGCTAGACCTTAGATCCAACCAGTTTGGCACTTCAGGTTTTGTAATATTGTTGTGACTGAGAAGCTGCAGCACCAGCAGAATTTACCATGAGCAATGGCTGTGTCCTTTGGCAGTTGGCAAGCTTGGCGCTTGGGAAATCTACCGAAACTGAGGGCACGGTTGCTTAAGAAACTTCAGATGAAGGGAAACTGACTGGAAATGGGCAAAGCTGGAAAGATCAGTTACCCAAAATGAAGCAAGAGAATTTAGACTTAAAAAAAACAAACCCCAAGCATTACTCACAGCCATTCAGTGGGAACTGGCTGACTTGTGTTAAGACATAACTTGCAGTACCTTGTCTGAGCAGTAGTGGCGCCATCCTTCCTGAGTTAAGCATTGCCCCTCTTCGTTCCGGACAGCACCATCTCTACAGATGTCATACATCTGCTTGACGCAGTCCCATCTCCGGTCTTCTATAGGGCTTTTATACCCAGGGGCGCACGGGCATTGGGCATCACTAGGCTGCAATGAGAATACGATGCCTGTGTTTTGCATTTATTTATTTTTGTTAGCTCAGTGATTCACACCACTTTTCTTGATTTATTCTTAATTTGAGAGAGAGAGAGAGAGAGAGAGAGAGAGAGAGAGAAAGAGAAAGGAAGAAAGGAGTGTTCCTCTAGAATTAAAAAAAAAAGCAACCATGGGGAAATCCTATGGGGAAAGGCTACAAAGTTTGCGGGATTTTAATTTAGAGGAAGGTTCAATCTATGGCACCTCCAGGAAGTGCTGGGAATTGCCTGCTAGTCAGCGTCATCAATATTGACCTAGATGGACCAATGGTCTCCTCTAGATCCACAGAGGATGCTGTGGCAATGGCTTTACATGCTGTCCTGACTCATTCAGCCTGCAGTTACCTGGAACACTCGGCCTTCCCGAAGGCAGACACACGTTCTTTGACCTTCCTTGGGCTGCACAGCCTCCGAGCCACATGGGAAGCAAGCTGCTTGGCCCAGCTTAGCATTGAAGAAGTTCACAGGGCAGGCCACACACGAATGGGAGGGAGACCTTCCTGTTGAGCGAAAGGTGCCTTCTGGGCACGGGAGAGGGGTTGAATCGCTACCCAGGCAGAAAAAACCTGAAAGCAAAATGCATGACATGAAATCGGGATGAATACAGGGATGTTGACAGGTAATGTTATGGAGCACTTACCTTCAAAGTATGAGGATTGCAGTTGGACACTTTCAGTTGCCTGTGATGCATTGGGTATCACCCTTGCTTTATAAGGTTAACAGCTCATCAATCACTCAGCAGCAAAACAAAGACCCTTCAATTCCTCAAGGCCATAAATGCAATATGTAATTTATCTGCAATTTTCTGCTATCACAGTTTGGCTCTTAACCTACATGGGCAATGAGAAATCTGTGCTGTTACTAGGATGTTAAAGGCATGGTGAGGTTTTTTATTTTATTGTTTTTTAAATTATGCATTTGGTCAAGCAATCATTCAAATATTTCACAATTATAGAATCGTAGAGCTGGAAGTCCAACCCTCTGCAATGCAGGAATCTCAGCTAAAGCATCTTTGACAGATGGCCACCCAACCTCTGCTTAAAAACCTCCAAGGAAGGAAAGTCCCCCACCTCTCGTGGGAGACTGTTCCACTGCTGAACAGCTCTTACTGTCAGAAGGTTTTTCCGAATGTTTAGTCGGAATCTCCTTTCTTGCAACTTGAAGCCATTGGTTCGAGTCCTATCCTCCAGAGCAGGAGAAAACAAGCATGCTCTCTCCTCCATGTGACAGCTCTTAAGATATTTGAAGATGACTATCCTATCTCCATGGGATGCGGGTGGCGCTGTGGGTTAAACCACAGAGCCTAGGACTTGCCGATCAGAAGGTTGGTGGTTCAAATCCCTGCAACGGGGTGAGCTCCCGTTGCTCGGTCCCTGCTCCTGCCAACCTAGAAAGCATGTCAAAGTGCAAGTAGATAAATAGGTACCGCTCCGGTGGGAAGGTAAACGGCGTTTCCGTGCGCTGCTCTGGTTCGTCAGAAGCGGCTTAGTCATGCTGGCCACATGACCTGGAAGCTGTATGTCGGCTCCCTCGGCCAGTAAAGCAAGATGAGTGCTGCAACCCCAGTTCGGTCACGACTGGACCTAATGGTCAGGGGTCCCTTTACCTATCCTAAAGGTAAAGGTACCCCTGCCCGTACGGGCCAGTCTTGACAGACTCTAGGGTTGTGCGCTCATCTCACTCTATAGGCCGGGAGCCAGCGCTGTCCGCAGACACTTCCGGGTCACGTGGCCAGCGTGACAAGCTGCATCTGGCGAGCCAGCGCAGCACACGGAACGCCGTTTACCTTCCCGCTGGTAAGCGGTCCCTGTTTTATCTACTTGCACCCGAAGGTGCTTTCGAACTGCTAGGTTGGCAGGCGCTGGGACCGAACGACGGGAGCGCACCCCGCCGCGGCGATTCGAACCGCCGACCTTTCGATCGGCAAGTCCTAGGCGCTGAGGCTTTAACCCACAGTGCCACCCGCGTCCCTTTACCTATCCTATCTCCTCTCAATCTCATGTTTTCCAGTCTAAACATACCCAGCTCCTTCAAGCACTCCTCATAAGGCTTAGTTTCCACACCTTTGATCATCTTGGTTGCCCTCCTCAGCACACGTTCCAGCTTGTCAACATCCATCTTAAATTGTGGCACCCAGAATTGGGCACAGTATTCCAGGTGTGGTCTGACCAAGGCAGTGGTACTATTCCTTCCCTTCATCTGGACACTATACTTCTGTTGATGCGGCCTAGAATAGCATTAGCTTTTTTTTTTGCCGCTGCATCACACTGTTGACTCATGTTAAGCTTGTGGTCCACCAAGACCCCTAGATCCTTTTCACATGTACTGCTAGTAAGCCAGGTGTCCCCCATCCTATATTTGTTCATCTGGTTCTTCCTGCCTAAGTGCAGAATCTTTCGTTTGTCCCTATTGGAATTCATTTTGTTAGCTTGCCCCCAGTTCTCCAATCTGTTAAGGTCATTTTGAATTCTGATTCTGTCTTCTGTGGTATTAGCTACCCCTCCCAGTTTGGTGTCATCTGCAAATTTGATGAGCATCTCCTCAATTCCTGCATCCAAGTCATTTATAAAGATGTTGAACAAAATGGGCCCAGGACAGAACCCTGCGGCACCCCACTTGTCACTTTTCCCCAGCATGACGAGGAACCATTAATGAGTACTTTTTAGGTTCGGTCAGTCAACTAGCTACAAATCCACCCAAAAGTTACCTCGTTCAACCCACATTTTACCAGCTTCCTTTCAAGAATATAGTGGGGGGCTTTGTCAAAAGCCTTACTGAAATCAAGATACAGTACAGTAATTCCATCAAGAAGAGAAATCAGATTGGTCTGGCATGACTTATTTTTGAGAAACCCATGTTGGGCCTTAGTAGTCACAGCATTCTTTTCTAAATGCTCACAGATCAATTGTTGAATTATCTGTTCTAGGACCTTCCCTAGTATTGATAAGCTCACCGGTCGGTAGTTACCTGGGTCTTCTTTTCCCCTCTTTTGAAGATGGGGACAACATTTGCCTGCCTCCACGACCTCAACTGTTCTCCCATAATTCTCAAAGATAATAGACAAAGGGTCTGAATTACACCTGCAAGTTCCTTCATTACCCTTGGATGCAGCTCATCAGGCCCTGGAGATTTGAATTCATTTAAAGGAGCTAGGTGTTGCCTTACTACCTCTTTTCCTATTTTGGGCTGCAGCCCCCTCCTTACTGATCATTCATTCTGTTATCACCATGTTGGGCATCTCTGAAGAAAAATCTAGCAAACACAACAAACAAGTGCAGCTTAAAAAGCAAACAGGCAAATCATTATTCGGCTACTTTTTACCTGCTGGGCATGTCGAAGGGTTTCTTTGTCTTCTTGTGCAATTAAACTCATTCTCACAATCTTCTCCTTGTAGTTGCAAATTTCCAGTGTGGCAAGAAATGAAAGCAAACAAAATAAAGATAAGGCCAAGCATATTTCGTGGATTCAAAACATTCAGTTGTTTCAGCATTGATGGGCTTCCACTTTTAAATATTTCAATATAGTCAGAGCGTGTAAATTAAACAAGGTGGAAATGGATCCCTCAGGATCAGATGACACAGCTGAGTTGCACTAGAACAGCTTTCACAAACCTGGTGCCATTAGCTCCAGGCAGCTATGTTTCAAAACCCAATTGAAGTCCAAAATTTATGGAGAGCATCAGATTGGGAAAGGGTGCAGTAGAATATCAAGGACAGGTGTAGCGATCTCACTAATTGACTTCCAATCAGTTTGTGAAATTCACATATGCAGGTTTCCAGTGCAGAGTAACTCCAACGGGTCTACTCTGAGTAGGATGAGCACTGTCTATTACACTGTGTTTTAAGCTCCCATGCTTTCCTGTTCTGATTCCTGGGTGGAATCTAGACATATATTAAAAAACACTGTGAAAAGGCTTTTTTAAAAAAACGTTTTGAAAAACACCATATTTTTTGCTCTATAAGGCTCACTTTTTTCCTCCTAAAAAGTAAGGGGAAATGTGTGTGCGTCTTATGGAGCGAATGCAGGCTGCGCAGCTATCACAGAAGCCAGAACAGCAAGAGGGATTGCTGCTTTCACTGCACATCGATCCTTCTTGCTGTTCTGGCTTCTGAGATTCAGAATATTTTTTGTTGTTGTTTTCCTCCTCCAAAAACTAGGTGCGTCTTGTGGTCTGGTGCGTCTTATAGAGTGAAAAATACGGTATATTGAATTTGCCATAAGCTCACTACCAACATCTAGTGCCATATTTGTATAAGGTACTTAAAACATTGTATTTGCTGCTGAAGAGCTGAGTCACTGGACCTATGCTATGCTAGGAGAAGTGTTGCAAACTGGAATTCTCCCTTATGTGCAGCTACAACTGAACATTTCCTGGCTGGGAATCTGATTCATTAGCCCACTGCAAAAGCAGGAAAGCTCAGCTCTGTGGTGGTAAGGGAATTCACCCTTGCTGCGTTGTCAATTCAATTTGGAAAGTGCACTCTACTCCCAATAGGTGGCAGCAATGCTTCTCGTGCTGTGCAAAAAGGTCACAGTTTCTGAGCCGGGGCTACAGCTTAAGGCTGATTCTTCCTAATTAAATTCCTACGTGCATTTGAATATACATAAGCATAGCATCCTGGGATCATATGCTTGCCTTTTGTTTTTAATGCTTTCTATTCCAACTGTCATGGGTGGCGCTGTAGTCTAAATCACAGAGCCTAGGGACCCTTGACCATTAGGTCCAGTCGTGACCGACTCTGAGGTTGCGGCGCTCATCTCGCTTTACTGGCCGAGGGAGCCGGCGTACAGCTTCCGGGTCATGTGGCCAGCATGACTAAGCCACTTCTGGCGAACCAGAGCAGCGCACGGAAACGCCGTTTACCTTCCCGCCGGAGTGGTACCTATTTATCTACTTGCACCTTGATGTGCTTTCGAACTGCTAGGTTGGCAGGAGCAGGGACCGAGCAATGGGAGCTCACCCCGTCGTGGGGATTCGAACTGCCGACCTTCTGATCGGCAAGTCCTAGGCTCTGTGGTTTAACCCACAGCGCCACCCGTGTCCCTACATCAGCCTTTAATTGAGAAGCATGAGGACTAGAAATGTGTTCCATTTTTAGGGGAAGAATTGTAGCGTACAGTGGCTGAGCACAGCCCTTGCACGGACCGTTTTTCTGTCTTGGTATAACAGCACAGTCTACCATGATAAGCTTTGATTTGATAGTGTTTTGGATCCGTGTAAAATCATGCAAATTCAAGAGAATCTGTTTTCATTCCACTGGCTCTAACCTTTATCTACACCCCAAAATGGCAAAGAGTGCGTATGTGAGCGTGTTTTTACTTTCTTGTTTTCTGCCTGTCTCAGGGTCGTGGTGGGGGTGCTCCAGGAGAGGATGGCGAGAAGCAGCCAGAAAGGGTGAGGAGCCAGTGTGGTGTAGTGGTTAAGAGCGGTGGATTCGTAATCTGGTGAACCGGGTTCGCTTCCCCACTCCTCCACATGCAGCTGCCGGGTGACCTTGGGCCAGTCACACTTCTCTGAAGTCTCTCAGCCTCAGTGTTTGTTGTGGGGGAGGAAGGGAAAGGAGATTGTTAGCTGCTTTGAGACTCCTTCGGGTAGTGATAAAGCGGGATATCAAATCCAAACTCTTCTTCTTTTCTTC